ACTTACCATTCCGCCACTGTATGTTTTGATTTAATCCCTCCCCCGACGCCGAACTCCAATCCATTCAAATTCCACTTAGTGTCTGTCGTACGTCCAATTATTCTTTGGCTGTCAGGGCTTGGCCACGGGCCTATCAACAAGAAAGCCCATCTATTCCGAGATCCTTTCAGATCTGAGTAGTTTTGTAGAGAAGCTTATATAAGTCTAGAGGGAAAGTGGCATTATACGGAGACTTCTACCCAGGATAACCGCCACGCAGGCAGTTGCCTAAGGTAACCAATGGCCTTCTTTGGCGCGTCATGGGCCTAGAGGTCTTTCACGCTACACTTCATCAAAATGCTTCTCATTGTGATGCTCAACGCGAACCTTTCTGCATGGGTATGTGCCAGCACACTGAGGATTTATAGACAGCGAAGGGCACCATTTGGTTTGAGTCTAGTATCAAATCTTTCTTGTACTAGTTCAGTTCAATCACCTAACCACAGCACGATACGAGCAGCAGAACCGTCGTATTCTGGCTAGAAATAGAAATCGCCCAGTGTTCTTCCTTTATGCATACGAGGGCTCGGCATATTGCTTTCGCGATGCGTTGACTCCCATTGACCATCTCGTCTTGAGTAAAGCATCTGGCGTTACCGTATTCTGAAGCCATTGGGTAACGGGGGATGACCGAGTTGAATACAGGACTCCGAAAGTTGCTCCAGGCCTCTAAGGTACTTTCAGGGTGAGCAGAAAAACTTGACATTGTGAGATCGACGTGAAGAACATAATGGGATTCACGCAGCTAAAAAGATTCCTAAACCGCTTTGAAGGCCCTCAGCCTCCGACCTGTAATGGTGTGTTCCATATTTCCTGCGCATCCGCAATTCCTTCCCTTTCCTTCATCTTCGTAGTTGTTTGAAAACTGCGAGGTAAGTGTGGCTTGTCTGACCAAAACCCGAGTCCCCGCTGTTGAGTGTCCGCCGCCCCAACGATGGTACACCGTACGGTTCCCAAACTCAGAAACTCAATAGTCTTATGCTTACCTATTAAGAGACTGCTCGGTCAAGCCTGAGGAACAGAGGTTGCCTGCAAAGCACCTAGGGTATAGATACGCTCAATCCTATCCTACTTAGAGCCCCTATTCTGTTGAACTGAACGCGGCGGAGAAAGTGACATCGCGCGGCGTTATCATACGTTTGATATAATCAAGAAACGCCTCCAAAACCAACCAGTTGCGATTCCTCCTCAGCCCCTAGGCTTTCTCGCTCCGCGGGCTGTGTATTATTAAGATGCCGGAAAGTGTCGGCGTCTCGCAGGCGATCGGGATATCAAGAGAACGGTTAGGTGATCCGTACCCCATGCCCTCCTCCTCATTCGGACACTGAAGTGGGCTACGTAGCGGCCATGGATACGTACTGTCACGGCGATGTATCGCATAGGTCCCCGTCCCCCATCCCTGCTTTCCATTTTGAGCCGATGCGATTGGCCCTTGACTGAATAAGCCTCATTTTTGCCAATTGGGCTGGCTACTGCAAGGTCAGCTGTTTTTTCGGCCAATGGCATATTTGTATATTCTTCTTTTCGTTCACTTGAACTTTTCAGTCAGTGTTTTAAAGTCACAAACAATCCCACATCATCATCGAGGTCCCGCAGTCTTTTCCCTTTTCTTTAGGCTCTTTCTACATTTGTTAATTGCGATGTCTTCAAGCAACTCTCTCTCTATAGAAGTGGTTGTCTCTCTCATATTTGGCCTCTTGGCATCAATTTTAGCTCTCGCTGGGCTTTGGATTGGATATTTGGCCGTCCAAGAAGCTCGACAAAGGCGCCACAACAACACTTTGCCGGTTCACGAAGGAACGCGGGATGTGGAACATCTATCAGATGCCTCATTTGTCCTCGGCCTGCTAGGACGAATCTACGCTCAGATGTGTAGCAGAGGGCAAACAGAAGCACGCCGAACTTGATCTTCAATTGTGAGTGAACTGAACACGTCCTCCATAGCCAAGGCGGCGCCTTTTCCGAGTTCTCATCCCGTCATATGTACTGACTGGCCCTCAGGTTTGCCACTGCAAACCATCCGTGGTTGAAAATTGTTGGAAGTAAACAAAGCCTTTGCTGGGGTTGAGCTAGGGTTATAGTTTTCGATATCTTGTGAGAGGAAGTCTAAGGTTGCTCATCTTCTGTCAAAAAGACGGCATAGACTTAGAAGTCGTAGCTTGAAGTGCGTTACAGTCTAGCAAACATGTCAATTCTTGACAATCCAGTCATATAATTAAACATGTCATCTTACCCCATATAATCCATTTACTCCTCGTGCTAGTACAATTGTGAATTTGGATATTTATCCCACCTATGTATTCCTGGGCGATAAAGCATGGTGGCTGCATCGCTCCGTTCGGGCTCCGTTGCTCTACAGCGCTCCCCGCAAGGCAAGTAAACTTGTCAAGTTCAATCAATCAATCAATCAATTATGAAGCTATCGCTAGTCAATCAAGTCAAGTTTGAGGCTCAAACTTGATTGATTGCCTTGACTCTTTTGACAGGGGGGGAGGGGGGCTACTAGGGCCTAGGGGGCCTTATAGGGGGGCTTTAGAGGGGGCTTAAGGGGGGCTTAAGGGGGGGGCTTAAGGGGGCTAAGGGACCCGGAAAAGCCCGGAAAATCGTTAATCCAGCCCGACTCTCGGCCCCGAAACCCCGGCTCCGGGCCCCCCCTTTCAGCCCCCCTTCCGGCCCCCCTTCCGGGGGCCTCCCCTCCGGGGGCCACCCTCCCGGGCCCTAACCTTCCGGACCCTTCCCTCTAGAGCCCTCCCCTCTAGAGCCCTCACCTCCAGAGCCCTCCCCTCTAGAGCCCTCCCCTCTAGAGCCCTCCCCTCTAGAGGGCCCCCCTCTAGCCCCCTCTAGAGGGCCCCCCTCTAGCCCCCTCTAGGACCCCCCTCTAGAGCCCTCACCTATATGTGGGGATATTTGCCAATTAATTGCAATTAATTGGCAATCAATCAAGTATAGCATCGCGATGTGGCAATCAAGTCAATTATGGGCCTCAAACTTGATTGATTGCCTTGGGGTGGGCGCTGTTGCTCTATGGGTCAATAAAAACTGGCTCACTATCCACGAATTTGTCTATGCTGACAATATTGTAGAAGTTCGCCCCATGATTTACGAAATGATAACATATAGTCCATGGTCACACGTCGCTGGCGGGGTATTATTACCAAGCCCCCGATTTTGTTTATCAGATTCTCGGGATATGACGATCTACCACCAAGTGACATATGTCATGTTCTAGAACATCAGAAAAACAAGCACCAAAGTGGAACGATGCGTCCGTCCGTTGCTCGTCTTAGTGCCCGTGCCTCCAGCTGTCATCCCGTCTTAGCGCCCCGCTAACCTAATTGCAGTGTGGCCCCCCAAGGTACTCCCTAGGTAGTGACGTCAGATCTAGCCCAAGCTTGCAGCTGGATCTCTCTGCCCTCAAAATCCCCCAAGCTGCACGTCATTCTCCTGCACTTCGTCCCGCGATAATCAGCGTCCCTCATACATCAATCACGAACCTTTCAACGACATTCCAAGAGCCTCGCGGCTTCTTAGAGCCAGCATGCAAATTCGAAGCGCCTCAATATCCTCCTCAATCCTGGCAGCCATCTCGACTGACCCCGACAATCCCAAGCGACGCAGCTTCCGCATCAAGATCTTCCGCGTCCTCGCGTCATTCCTCTCCATTTTCAGTCTGCCCCTCTCCCGCTACCGCGCCGCCGACTTTCTCGAGCTCCGACACAATGTCTGGCAAATGGATGAAGAAGAGTATGCGAACTCTTTCCATCTAGCAGAGAAGCGCAGCAAGGGCAAGGGCCGCGAGTCCGACCTGCACCCTGTCGGCGACCTGGGCTACAGCGGCTCAACCTTCTTCACGACAGCCGACGGCAAGTTCCTCATCAAGTCGCTGCCTCGCCGATTCGAGCACGAGTTCTTCACGCACGACCTGTTCGATGCCTACGTGGCCCACATGAAGGAGCATCCTCACAGCCTGCTGGTGCGCATCACCGACATGGTCTACACCTCCCTTGCAACTCTTGGCGGCATCCTGGGCACGGCCCCGACGCATCATATCATCATGGAAAATCTACTCTACGGCAAGGAGATGGAGGAGACTGAACACCGGAAATCAGGATGGGAGACGTACGATCTCAAGCCGAACGACTACTTCTTCCCCGAGCGAGACATCGCAGGAGGGAAGCTGGCTCCCGAGAGCGTCAAGGAGAGGCTCATCGATGAATTCCCCGACAAGATCCGCATGAAGTCGGACAAGAGACAAGAGCTCCTCGACCTCCTCGACGCCGACACCAAGCTCCTCGCAGATAACAACGCAGTCGACTACTCCCTCTTCCTCGTCCGCTACCCCGGCCCAAACGTCACCGACGGCGACCGCGAGAATCCTCCCTCGATCCAATCCGATGCACACCCCTGGCGTACCGGCATCGTCGACGCCGATGGCAACTGGATCTACCGCGTTGTCGTCCTCGACTTCTTCTGGGCCAAGCACAAGTTCCGCGCGAAGCTCATGACGGGACTCGTCGACTCCTACAACGTTGTTGCGGGCCATGGACCCATGAGCATCACCGCCAACCCCGCCGAGTACCAGCAGAGGTTCATCGACATGGTCAAGGACATTGTCATTGAGGCTTGATCTGGCATCATGAAGAACCTCAGAGATTTTCCTTTTTCTTTTCTTCTACCTCAAAAGAGCGAGGCGTTGGGATTTACATGTAGCATAGCCCTTTTCGTTTCAGCACCCCTTTGCCTTAGATACCAAACTTCATCCCCTATGCCACATCACTTTTCCATCATCATGAAGTCAATGTGGATTTGCGACACGTCTTTTGAAGTTGTGATTAATTATTGCATTAAAAGCTATCGAAGCTACTAGTTGGAGATCACACGAGCGCCAGCCCTTCATAGTGAAGACCAGAATCCAATCATATCCTGAGCATTTTCCAAGTCATCGAGGTCAGTCTCGATGATCAAATCGTACTCATGAGCAACATGTTATTCCCTGGAGGACAGTACTCGAACTCCATGCAGTCTCCCGTCTCCAGCGCACACTGCACGCCGTTGAACTTCTGACCCTGCGGGCACTTGGGCTTCTCCTCTCCGATGCATTGGCCGGAGGCCTCATCCCATTCCGTACCAGGTGCACAATCTGGCTTCTCTTTTGCCACGCAATGCTTTGAATCGAAATGGAAGCCAGGAGGACATGCCGGCTCCTCGGCCAATCGGCACTTTCCTCCGACGAATGTGGCTCTGGGCGGACAGCCGGGGTCGTCGCCGACACAGGCGGTGCCGTTGAAGTGTGTGTTCCCGGCGCACTTGGGCTTTTCATCGTTGATACAGTCGCCGTTCTTGTGGACGTAGCCTGGAGGGCAGGTCTCCTCGTCGACGCTCTTGCATTGGCCACCGATGAAGTCGTAGCCTGGAGCGCACTCCGGGTCCTCGATGTGATTGCAGACGTTATTCTGGAGGATCTGGCCCGGAGGACAGGTGGGAGGGCCCTTCAAACATGAGCCGCCGTCGAGGGTCGAGCCTTGTGGGCATGTTGGTATGGCGGAACCGACGCAGGTACCGTTGCTCAACTGCCCTTGAGAGCACTGGGGAGACTCCTTCGAGATACAGCGACCGCCGTCAAATATTGTGTTGTCGATGCAGCTCGGGATTTCAGGCTTGAGGCAGTCGTCATCGACGTAGTAGCCGCCGTCCATGCATCTAGGCCGGCCCACGACGCAATGGGCACCGTTCCAAGTACCAGAAGAACAAGACGGCGGGCCGACGATACAAACCTGGCCTTGGAGGATCGATCCCGAGGGGCATTGGACCTTTGACGTGGCGATGCACTGGCCGTTTGTAAGGGTGGAGTCTCCGGGGCAGACTGGCTTCTCTACGGCCGAGCAGATGACTCCATCCCGGGTGTAGCCGGGCGGACAGTCGGGAGGGTCGATCAGCTCGCACTGGTCGCGGGTGAGCTTGGTGCCAGGCGGGCAGATGGGCGGCGGGGGCGTGGTGAACTGGCAGCGGTCTCCGATCGGCGTGGTGTTCGGCGGACACTCGCCGTCGTGGGGGACCTTGCGGTAGCATACTTCTCCCTCCAACTTCATTCCGGATGCGCAGCAACGGGCTGTGCGGGCCTTTTGGTCAACAACCAGCTCCGTGCCGGGGGTGCAGGACGGCTCATCTGTAGCAATGCACCGCTCGCCCTCCAGCTTGTAGCCGGGAGGGCACTCCGGAGGAGTCCTCAAGACACATGTCTGCGTCTTTGCGTCAAAGTTGGTGTCCTCTGGGCACTGGGGGCCGTCAGCCACACAGTTGCTTCCCTTAAGGGTGCTACCGGGAGGACATTCCGGGGACTGGTGATGGACGCAGGCCTTGAGTGTCTTGTCGTACTGGCTCTTTCCAGAGCAACTCGGGGGGAGGATGTTGACGCAAGCACCATTGGTGTGGCTGGAACCCTCGGGGCAGGACGGACCGATGGTGTTGACGCAGCCCTTGCCGTTGAACCGGTCCCCGTCGCCGCAGAAAGGCTTCTTGTCAGAGACGCAGACCTGGCCCTCCAAATAAAAGGTGGAAGGACACTTGGGGGGCTCATCGTAGATGCAGGCCTTGTCTCTGAACTGCAGCGGGGGAGGGCAGGAGGCCTTCGCTATGGTGACGCAAACGTTGCCTTCCAGCTCGGAGCCCTCGCTGCATGCTGGCTTGACGGTGGAGATGCAGCGGCCGTCCTTGAATGTCGTCTCGTGCGGGCATTTGGGGACGCCGAGGATGCAGCTTTTCCCGTCAAAGAGCGTTCCTTCGGGGCAACACTTGGTCAGGCCGGTATCGGGGTTGAAAAGGGGCTTGATTGCGTCGAGGGTGTATTTGGCGTGGCGAGAAGAGCCGAGGGGAATCTGGGCGGCTGCTGTTGCGTGGGTTGCCAGGAGGGCGACCAGGCTCGCCCGGAGAGTAATCATGATGAAAGTAGGGCTCGATGAAAGAAGTGATGGAGTGGTTGGTTGATGGATATGTTTGATCATGAAGTTGATGGCTCAGCGAGTCTTATACGCATCTTCGAAGTTGTGCTGCACCTGGGTTAGTCAATCTCTGTATTGGCTCCAGGGTAAGCAGAACCTTTGCCCGTACTATCCAGGTCATCTGGTTTCGGTCCACACTCGGAAACAGAAATCTAGGAAGTTTGAAGATGAGAGATCAACAGCTCCAACCGAAAGATGACGTAGCTTCATCAGTCGCGAAACTAACATAGACGATTTCCCCCAAGTTCGTCAATCGAATGGGGACATGGAGAACAAAATCAATGCATATTTCGTTTAGTGACCGTAGGCGCCTAAACCGTTCAAGGTTCGGTTCACATAACTGGAATAGATCAAGTTCGGTATTGGATTTTGCATCAAGGATCAAATTCAGAGTTTGAAACACATCTCAACTTGATCTTGACCCCGCGTCTCAGTCTTTGTAACCTGTCAGCACTTGGCGTCCTAGTCAAGACATCAACCTAGTGCCTAGGGCTCCCAACTACACGTACTTGGAATCAATCTGTCTCAGTCAAAGCTGTACGATTTCGAGTGACCAGATTCTCAATTCTCAGACTGCGGTCCGCTGAAAGCGTTCTCGGGTTGGATGGGAATGTGCAAGCGTCTTTCCCCAAGCCCCTGGCTAGTGTCGTACGTGTGCAACCTCCCGACTCCCGAGACAAGATCGCTCAGCGGCGTTCTGCCCCATCTCAACGTCGCGGCTGAAAACGGATCCCGTCCGCGCTTCCAATTTGCTGATATGCCTGGGAATGTACTCCGCACTATATACCATGAGACCCGAGACATGAGGTCTTAGTAGCCTCCACACCTACAACTGTCTCAACAGGCCAACGGAAAATGAGTTCGGGCGTTGATGTTCATCAAAGCTAGAGACGACAAGACACAAGGCCCGTCACATGCGAGCGTCTCGTAGACAGTTTGTGCCTGGTTTGGAGTAGCAGCCACTTGTTTCGGCCTTAAGAGTATGAAGCTTTTGGAAATACTCACTAGGACCTGAAAACATCACCTCCAGATGCAATGTCTAACGCTCTTTCAACGGAGATCATCCGACGCAATCAGTTGATGTGGATGCGAGATAGCTACGCTGGCCGGATCTGTTCATAAAATCCGGCAAGCTCGCCAAGGCCAGTGGCTGATCAGCGACGTCAGAACGGCTCAATAGTTTAGCCCCGCAGACCAAGGGCAGCGGGCGCTTGGCGAGCCGAGATGTGGTGAAAGGGACGGGACGGCCCAGCAACTCGGCCCGTGTGTCCCTCACCCATCTATTACACGCCAGCTCCCAACGACCATCGACGCCGCGTTACCCCGCTCCGGCGAGATCCGAGATCGTCAAGATGATCTCGATTAACATCTGAGAATGTCTGAGCCGCAGAGCCCACGGCAACCGAAGGTTTGAGATTTCGTCGTGAGAAGCGGGGTCGCTGAAAGCAGAAGCTTGATTCTTGCAAACGGGCTGCTGTGGTCTTACAATGCTAACTGTAACAGAGTCTGAGGGAATAGTCTTCGTCGTCTCGGGACCTTGGATAATGGCCAACGGACTATGACCTGTCATAGGTCCAGTTTAGGGAAGGAATTTTGGTTATGTTGAAAACCTACAGGCTACACACTTGACATAGTCCACAGTATGTTTATTCTGTCATAGAACGGAGTGGAATTATCTGTGCTGCCGCGTATATAAAGCCGCCAGCTTCAGAAGTAGATAAAGAATGCTTTCCTTAGCATCACCACATCTCCAACGTTTCCCCCCATTGTATGCCTCTTACAGCCATCATGCTCTTACGTGCAATTCATCTCCTCACCCTCAGTGCTGTAGCTGTTTGGGCCCAGCAAGCTCCCCTCGCCGGTAGCAAGGGAAGCTGCCTCTCCTCCTCCAACGCCAACAGAGCCGCCGCCCTCTCCACATGCTGCCCAACTCCAGCCACCGAGGGCAAGGGTACCGTCGACGGCACCGTCTTCACCTATACCTGCGGCAAATACGCCTCCCCGTACGAGAGCTCTGGCCAGAACACCGCCAGCCCGCGCGACTGCGCCCAGCTCTGCGCGCATGACCCGACCTGCGTCGCGGCCACCTGGGCCAGCATCAACGGGCTATGCTACGTAACCAGAGAGGGCACCTCATTCGGGCCCAAGCTCGGCAAGAGTTTTATCCTCATAGCCAAGACCGAGGAGACGCCCACCGACGACCCGTCTGTAGCGGACCCGGCCGCCATCGCGCAGTGTAACAACGAGAAGGACGCCATTCGCCGGGAGATGACGAACCAGTGCGAGATGGAGGTGCAGGGGCAGAAGGCGGCGCACCAGAGCGCGCTGAGGCAGGCGGAGGACCGCTGTAAGGAGGAGAAGGCGCAGTGCGAGGCGGACAAGAGCCGGCAGGTGACGGCGGCTCGGGACCAGTGCAATGCGGACAAGGCCGGGCTGGAGCATGACCGGGAGATGTGCGAAGAGGAGAAGAGCCAGCAGAGTCAGGAGTGTAGGTCTCAGGTGGATGGCTTGCAGAAGCAGGTGCAGGATCTCGAAGACCAGGTGAGGTCCGGGTCCGACTCTGGCTCCGGATCGGGCACGGGCTCGGGATCAGGTTCTGGGTCCGGTACTGGATCCGGCACCGGCTCGGGTTCAGGCAGCGGCACCGGCTCGAGCTCTGGATCAGGCTCGAACACGTTCCTTCAGGCTGGCGATTCAGACTGCGAAAACATCAGTACCTTCGCCAATTGCAAGCCCGGATGCAAGAGATTCGCCATCGACGGGGTGCCGTACGAGCTCAGATGCAATGCCTTTGCCCAACGGACGGCATTGCAGAAATCGAACGCATACGCTACGATCAACGAATGCTTGGCATACAAGTGCAACAAGGAATCGAACTGCCTGGGAGTTGGATGGCAGCCCAACGTGAGTACCGTGCTTTGTTTCTTTCCCCGGATTTCTGCCGGATTGATGGACAATGAGACTGACGTTTTCTCTTTTTCCTTCCGATCCAGGGCTGGTGCGTGTTCCATTACCCAGCTAAGCCAGGATTGCCGGCCAACGTTGTGCCGGCTGGCGGCAATCGCCATAACGTGATGAAGGTCAACCCTTAAAGCCGGTATTGCAGGTTGAGGTGCCGGTCTCTTCGGTCAACGGACCTATGGTATTTTCATGGTCATCAACCGGGATAGGTCTTTGGATCTATACTTGGTGCACTGTGTAACGACGGGATTTGAGGGTCAGGCTCATAGTAATATTGTGAGGCGTTGCCCTTTCTTTGTCTTGAATCTACCATCTTCGCATCGATTGAATGATGTCAACTTTGACTCGAAGGCTTAGGAACTTCTCTCTTGGTATCTCTAACGTAACTTACCAGAGGGCGTTGTGCAGCATTGTGGTTGTCGTTTGAGATTCTAAAGGGTGAATCAAGCAATCAGGTCCATCTCACGATGCTCTTCCTCTTGGTCAGCACCACGTCCGACTGCGGGCAGGTTGTACAGCGAGGTGCCGTTGGCGCATCCCACGGCCCTGGGCCAGGAAGTCATGCTTAGGATTCTGAATGAGACTTTAGGGTGCTAGGAGGCGTGATCTACGAAATGCAAGGAGATTGAAGTTGGGCGTAAACAGAGTGTTACGTGCAACTTAGTGCAGAGGAGCATCAAATCAGAGATTCGTTAGGTATTATCACGGAGGCATGTGTAAAACAGCCGCCTGTCGTAGCCTCGCGGGGGATGAGACCTAGTAAACATCGTAATTGAATCTCAACAGCTCCCAAATACAGTAAAGCGCCTACATGTCGATGTTTGGCGGTTGATGTGAAAGAAACACCACGCAAATACCACCAGACACTTTCAACTCTCAGAGCTTTGGGTTTACATCCGGCAACCGAAAGCTTGTTGACGGCTGTGAGACCAGTCAGAGTTTCTTTAAGATTGTGGGGAGAGTTTGTATTTCTCCGCAGGAATGATTTGCGGGGGCTGCCTTTTGGTATTCATTCTCGCCGGGGTTGAGGAGAGCTTTGCGGTGCAGCTCAGCTGAGGCTTTCAGCGTCTGAATGAATCACCAACAGAGTTACCCCGCGCGGAGATCTGACTTATCGGAGTATGGGGAAGAGATTGAGTCTCTGCGACGACGAGCTCAAAAAAAGAGACTGGCGCCGAGTGATATGGTGCATTTGCATGTTGGCAATTGCTTTTGCGATGAAAGCACAACAACCACCAAGCCACTGAAGAAACAAATATATGAAAGCAAAGCCACAGTTACACAGGAAACCTGGGGATCGGCCCCAGCCCGTTAATTCCCAGGAACGCGCAAGGCGGCAATACCATGCCCGTTCAAGACAAGCTGGGGAGAGCTTCGGCGTCAGATGTGCCTCGGGAAGCGCGCAATTGAGTTTAGCGACCGCACGCGGCACGCGGCGCCGGGCGGCCATTCCAAGCGGTTCCCGCCCGCGCGGGGGAGGCGAAATAGGGCGTGGGAAACATTTCAGACAAAAAACGGCGTGATCCTAGTCGCACGTGTAGCGCCATTGAGCAACGTCGGCCGGAATTCGAGGCGCGGGACGGCGGCTGATGGAGGCCGTTGCATCCCGCTGCCGCGAACAATCTCGTGGTGTCGCCAATGAGAAAGGCGGCGACGTCAATCCTTGCGACGATCTCCAGGGCCGCGGGCCAGGCACGGGATGCAGAAGAAACGGATGGAAGGGGAGGGGGAAAGGGATTGGCATGTGATTCTCCATCTAGCGACAGGGGTGATTGGGTTGGAAGGAGAGAACCGGAATCTGTTTTTCTATCAGTGGTCATTTTCGCGCAGTTCCCACTGAGGAGCCACTTTTGGGACAGCAATTGTGAGCGATCGTTGGTGACATGGGTGGTGCGCAATTTGTTGGCGTTGGTTGCTTCTGACTTGTGATGAGCCGAGATTCTTGGAGAACCTTGGGCAAGGTAATAAAATGGAGATTAAACTTGATAGTGTTCCAGCAGATAATACGAGCAAACACAGGCACGCGAGTAAAGGAAAGTACCGACTCCGCGTGCTGCCTCGGCCAGGTCCGGGGGAGGCGGAGTGTCCGGCCGAGGCAGCCCGGACTCGCAACTGCCAACTGAAGGTCACGGTGGAAGGTGGTCCTCCCTAAAGAGTGAGTCGGCCTCAACCCCCTGGCATTTCGTTGAGCGACTATCCCCGATAAGGGAAGCGGTGACGACTTCTGCCGCGACCCTAGGGTTGGCGGTGCGTCATGCTTCCCTCAACAGCACCGCTGGGCAGGAAGACCCCGGCACCGGCACATCCAGCTGCAGTTGCACTCGCTGACACTCGCCTGGCAGCTTCTTTCCCTCCAGGGATGCGACTGGGGGAGGTGATTGGGGATGGAGAGGAAGGAGGTGGGCGGTGACCCTGCTTGCCCAGCCAAACCGGCACTGACACCGCAAATAGAGGGGCAAAAACACATGCTGTCGTTGTCTCGCTTTATTTTTTATTTTTTTTCTGCCACCACTGCCACTGCCGTGACCCAAGACACTGTCCACCCACGATCCATACCTCACGAGGTGACCACACACAAGCCCATCCCGCCTGTCCGCCCGCCGATACGGATCCCCAGCAGCTGCCAAGCACCCACCTCAAGCTAAAGCGCCTGTCTGGACTGCCCGTACCCATCCGCGCCGACCGCACCTTACCCGAATCTGGACCTGGACCTGACCGGGACCCTCCTCCCTTACACCGTACCCAGTACATAATAGATAAACTTCTTCCACACCCCCTCTCTCGACGCTCCCTCCAGCTCTGCCTCATGCTCTTCCGCCTGCGATCCGTTGTTTCACTCGCAAGAAGCAGCTTTCCCCAACGACGATTCTACTCCTCCACCACAATGGCTTCCCTCGGCGCCGAAAAGAAGCACAAGGTCACCGTGGTGGGCTCTGGTAACTGGTAAGCTATCACCATCACCACCGCCTGCGAGCTGCACACGACGCTAACCAACCTCTCCCAGGGGCTCAACCATCTCCAAGATCGTGGCCGAAAACACAAAAGCCCACCCGGATCTGTTCGAGGAGGACGTCCACATGTGGGTGTACGAAGAAGACGTCGTCCTCGACGCCTCCTCCCCCTATCACGACCCCGCCGTCGGCTCCTCCCCGCAGAAGCTCACCTCCGTCATCAACAAGTACCACGAAAACACCAAATACCTGCCCGGCATCAAGCTCCCCCACAACCTCGTCGCCAACCCCTCCCTCCAGAACGCTGTCAAGGACTCCACCATCCTCGTCTTCAACCTCCCCCACCAGTTTATCGGCAACGTCTGCAAGCAGCTGCGCGGCCACATCCTCCCCTTCGCCCGCGGCGTCTCCTGCATCAAGGGCGTCAACGTCTCCGACGACGGCATCTCCCTCTTCTCCGAGTGGATCGGCGACGGCCTCGGCATCTACTGCGGCGCCCTCTCCGGCGCAAACATCGCCTCCGAGATCGCCGCAGAGAAGTGGTCAGAGACCACCATCGCCTACGACCCGCCCCCGATGGACAACTCCCGCGCACCCACCCCGCGCTCCACCTCCCCGAACCCCAACGGCAACGGCATCGCCCCGTTGACGCCTGTCGAGATGCAGCACAAGGACGCCCGCGGCCGCACCTCCAAGACGAAGCTCACCCCCGTCCCCGCAGAGTACCCGCCCCTCGACCACCAGATCTTCAAGACCCTCTTCCACCGCCCCTACTTCCACGTCCGCCTGGTCTCCGACGTCGCCGGCGTCTCCCTCGGCGGCGCCCTCAAGAACATCGTCGCGCTTGCCGCCGGTTTTGTGGATGGCCGCGGCTGGGGTGACAACGCAAAGGCCGCAATCATGCGCGTCGGCCTGCTCGAGATGGTCAACTTTGGCAAGGAGTTCTTCGGGCAGACGGTGCACACGGGCACCTTCACCGAGGAGTCGGCGGGCGTTGCGGATTTGATCACGTCGTGCAGCGGTGGACGCAACTTCAAGTGCGCCAAGATGGCCGTCGAGGAGGGATTGAGCGTGCAGGAGATTGAGAAGCGGGAGCTCAACGGCCAGCTGCTGCAGGGCACGAGCACCGCCAAGGAGGTCAACAGCTTCCTGAAGGCGAGGGGGCTGGAGAAGGACTACCCGCTGTTCACGGCCGTGAACGGCATTCTCGAGGGGCGGTACAGCGTTGACGATATTCCGAGCCTTATCTCGGATGACTAGATGAGCAGGATGAACAATGTTAATGGCATGTGTGGATATGTGGGCACTGAGACGGGAGGATTCTTGGGCTGGGTTTGAAAGATAGGCGCGCATTGATATCCCTGGATTGAATACCACAGCGGCATGGTGTGGGATGGACGGATGTATGTAGACGGATTCAAGCAATGAAAAAGCTATTCTGATCAATTTGGTATCCTCTACGCTCTACCTAAAAATCGAAAACTCCTTTCTGACCCTAACACCTACCAATCCCGCATCAACAGATTCATCTTCTCCATGTCGCTAGCCGGCGCCCGCCTCCACCTCTTGTCCTCCTCCTCCGTCCTCTCCCCATCCCCAAACACGGGCTTCAGCACCGCATCGTACCCCATCCACAACATATTAAACACCACACTCAGACTCACGCCCAACCACAGCGGCACTTTCCCCTCCTTATTCGCGACCCACTTGTTCAGCTGGAAGAAGAGCAGCATCACCGGGAAGAAAATGCCGGTAAGCAGCCACTGCGCCAGCTGCTGCCGGCAGCTCGTCACCGTGTATGGCTGCAGCGAAGCAAGCCAGGCCTGGTAGTCGTCCGGCAGCTCGTGCTCGGCGGCGCCGTCGGTGATGAGCTTGAGGTAGCGCGCCGAGGGCTGCGCGTAGGTCGGGTCCGGGCGGCGCGGGGGCGTGATGAGGTGGTAGTACCACTTTTTGCGCGGGTCGGAGGGCTTATCGTCACCGTCGTCGTCGCCATCTTTGGGGTTCTTATCGTCTTCGGGGGCGTCCGGGATCGCGGGGGAGTAGAGCGTGTGCGCGAAGAACGGCTTCGGGATGTCGATGGGCGGCTTCTCGGGCACGGAGACGCGCGGCGGGAGGGGGATGCAGGGCGTCAGGATGTCGAGGTAGGACGACCCGCCGCCCTCGGTGGCTACGATGGTGGCGTAGTCTTCGGGTGTGACTTCGTAGACGACGCCGTAGAGGCCCTTGGACCAGCCCAGATCCGGGGGCGTCTTTGTGGGTGCTCCCTTCTCCACATCCGCGGTTGGGTGTGGTGGTTGCGGCAGCGGCGGGACGGGGGGCAGTTTCGGCGGGTCAGACGGGTCCGGGAGCTGCGGGACCTTGCGCGGCGCGGTGTTGGCGAAGCACGGCTCGCGGTACGGCAGGCCCGGCAAGTCGAAGATGAGGGAGAGCGCGGGGGCGGAGACGTTTGTTTGGGAGAGGGGCCGGATGCCGCGTGCGCCGAGGAATGTTTCGGCGGAGAGGTTGGAGCCGTAGGCGAGGTAGAGGACTGATGTCGCTTCAGAGGAGGATTCGGAGGAGGCGGCGGCGAGGCGGGCGGGGGATGTGCGCGGGATGCTCGAGATGGGCGGGTAGGTGTGCTTTGGTTTGGAGAAGGTCGCTTCGTGGAGGCGGTTTAGGAGGGCGAGGGAGTCGCAGTGTCGTGAGGATGCCATCTTTGGGCGATGGGCACGCGCCGGCGGGTGGCGATTGGTGCTTGTGGCCGGGTTGAGCTGATGATAAGATGGATGCTGGTGCGGGAGGGGCGTTTCGACGGGTATTTGTTTGGTTGGGGAGACGGGGAAGCTGGGATGATGCTGGATTCGGTGTGAGATGGGATGATGGTTGAGAGGAGGGTCGGCGGTTGGGAGGAGGTTTATTTTCCCATTGGGTTTGTCGGAGGTTTTCTGGTTTGGATGACGACGCTTGGGCGATGCGCGGGAATGGGGGATGCGACGCCTGGGACTATCGCTGCGGGCGCCGGGCGGCGGACGGGAGCGTGATTATGTAAGGCGTGGGATGCCGGCGGAGTTTGATGGCGGAGTGGAGATTGGACGCCGGATTCTTGTTTGGTGGAGACGGGGCGGCGGAGGGACCGCCGATGTGAAGTATCACCAAGTCCAAGGTTTTCGGTCGGATGCGTATTTTGCAACGGGTTTTCATATAACATATCCCATTTCCAATTTTCTTCCCCGCGATGATATTGCTCCGATTTTGGCGTCAGATAGCAGCAGTCTAGGAAGACAGCTGGTGCCACCTTTCATTTTTCGCACCTGGGAAGGAGCCATGCTGACTTACACCATCCCGACGCACCTTCACTCCTTCCACCTTTCTCATGAGACACTATTGACGGTGACTCCCGGATGCAAGTTCTTTCTTGCTAATAAACAAGCACCACCGTGCTTTCTCTAGCTACTCGTCGCGTCCTTTAATTATGAGTTTTGCTAGTCGGGCAGTGTTATCTAGCTATCCGGGCAGTATTTATACAAAGTATATATATATATAATCCGTAGCCCGTTTCTAAGTAACTATTTTATTTCCTATTCTCACTTTTATTATTATTCTATATTATCTATTGTTATTATCGTCGTCGTTATCTTTGTTACTATTTCTATTATTCTCTCTATAATCACAGATTATAGGGGATACTACCCTGATAGCTAACGAACACTGCCCGACTAGCAAAACTCTTAATTATAACGTCACTGTGCTACCGTCATAATACCAGAAGTCTTCATTCTTTTGTGAAGGTTCCCCGTAGTCAGGCTAATAAAGACAGACTGTAAAGCTCTATTTACTACAATTAGCGGCCATAGCAGCTCTAATGTGCGGCTCTCGGCCTTCTGGCTTACGACCATTTCAGCGCTTCCTGGGCACAGTTCACAACAGCCACCACAGAACCAACCCGGCTGCCTCTAAGCTACCTCCAACATCTCAACTCTGCCTTTCTGGGTGGACCCTGGGACCGCTAAGCCAGCCGCATCCTTCGAGTCGCCTGAAAGGGAACTTCTGTGCAATCCACCAGTTACAGCCACCTTCGACATTTCCCGTCCGTTCTGAACAGGGTCGCCCCCCTTGGAAAACAAAGATCAACGTCTTCCAAACGGAGATTACTCGTCTCCGGATAGAAAAAGTAGAAGATGGGCACAAACGATAAATTCATGGCCATGAAGATCAAATATGCCTTCCACTGCAGGCGGTTGATGATGACTGGCGTTATCATAACGACGGTGAAGTTCCATAGCCAGTTGGAGCTAACTCCTAACGCCGTTCCACGTGCCCGAGCCTCCAGAGGGAGGATCTCGGGCACGTAGACCCACGGCACGCAGTTGACGCTCATGCCGAAGATGAGCATATACACAAAGAAAAAGGCAATGGAGGCCGTCGCAAAGACATGTCCGTTGGGGCTTTCGGCTTGCGATAGCAGGGCGGCGACTAAGAGCATACAGATGCTCAGGCCCAAGCAGCCGCTGATCATGGTCTTCCGGCGGCCCATCCGGTCGAGGGCTAGAGACGGAAGGATGGAGCCGAACATGAACATCATGTTGATGCAGCCCCCGAGGATCTGAGCTGTACGGGTCGTTGTGCCGACGTTCTGGACGAGAACCGAAGGGATGTAGTAGACAACCAGATTAATGCCGCCTGCTTGGTTCATGAACTGAATACCCCACGCTAGCAGCACGCGGTACCCAGTCCGCACGTTATCGTTCCTGAAGATACTAAAAAGAGACTTCGACGTATTTCCAGCTCCATTGTATCCGATAGCTTGAGTAATTGCAGTTCGCTCGCGGATAATGTGATCATTCGTAGGTTGCATATCGTAGATTTTGCAAAGCACATCCACAGCCTCAGCCTCGCGACCATGGTTGAAGAGCCAGTGTGGCGACTCGGGTAGGGCGAACATGAGAACGATGACTACCAAGGCGAACACCATCTGGAAGGCAATCGGCAGACGCCACGCGATAGCACCGCCGACGAACGACATGCCGAAGTCGAACCAGTAGGCGATCACGATGCCTACGCCTACAAACAGGACCTCCGCGGACACCAGCCGTCCGCGGGTCGTGTGGTCGCAGAGTTCGGCTTGATACCTGTGGTCATTCGCGCGTCAGTCGAGCCTTCATTCCGGGTCTCAGCTTGATCCATCTGCAACTTACATTGGAACCGTGGATGTTTTGATACCCGTGCCGAGGCCGGTGATGACTCTTCCAATGATGAGGTGCGGCACGTGGAAGGCGGTCGTCTGCAGCGTAGCACCGATGACGACGAGGCTCATGGCCAGCCAGATGGCTCTCCGACGGCCCAGGATGTCGCCAAAGAAGAAATTCACTGGTGACGAACGTCATTAGCGTGGGCTCTACTGCCATTGGGTGCTGATGCTCCGAAGAGACCATCCATGAGACGTGGGTGGGCAAAAGAGCAATTGGGGCACAGGAGTTGAGGACGAGGTCCACGTACACACGCAGCCACCGAGACATCCCAAGTTGTAACACGATACAATGAAGCCTGTCAATGTGTCCGAGGGGTGGTCGAATTGGCGGAGCCAGTCGTCGTTGTGCAAGATGCCTCCGAAAACGCCCTGGTCGTATCCGAAGAGGACGAATGCAATCAAGCAACAGACCGTGATGCCGGCCTGGACGCTTTTACCTCGTCCTAACGTGAAGAACATTCTTTCTTGTTCCCAGTGAGTGAAAGATGATGTATGGAGGCTGCAAAGGTCGTTGCAGAGGTCGGGCCACCTGGGAAAAGAAAAGAAATGTCTTTAATGATATAGCAGTTCAACACTTCGAGGGCCCGGCTGAAGTTATACTTTTAGGAAAAACCATGATGGTCTGTTGTTGTTCAGGGCCGGTACGAAAGTACATCACAAGTTTGGCTTGTCCAGAGCGCTCAGCTGTACTTCGGACGAGTACTTTCACATCCTCCATTCTTGGCATGGGTCGGTCCAAGAACCGGATTTGCCAGCAAAATGTCCCCCAATTCTCTCCCCAGGCGGCATTCTTCTCCACGCTTGTCAACGTGCTGTGGAGGCGGGGAAGAAAATAGATCAGATTGTGTGGGGTAACAAGCGGCATACACTAGTACTTAGTTCGATGGAGATGGGACATCACGAAATAAGATGACTATATTCCCAATTGGGGGGGCACTTGCTTGGGGCTGTCTGCGCTTGTATCGACTTAACGTTTTGCGGCCGGCGCATGCGCTTGCACTTACGTCCATCGGGACAATGCCTGCGCGGGACAGGGGTTGGAGACGCGGTGACACATGGTCTCGATGCACAGACGGCCTCGATGGCACGAGGGTTAGGATAGCCGCTTCGGGCATGTAATTATAGTCTGCAAGTCAACAATGCCTTCAAGACCTTTAGGCAAATATACCCGCTACATGTTACACGTGAAGATCGTCGTTTGTTCCTCGCTCTGATTGGCACCATATTGAGTGAAAAAGATGGTCTTCTTTCGGACAATCACGCAAAGTAATCAGTGTTCGAGTTTCCACAGTACTCGAAGATCTCTGGCCCTGTCAGACGTTTTCCACCCCGTGCTTCTTTCAATCGTCGCAAGCTGTCTCAGAATGGCCATCTTCTCTGCTGGAAAGTCATCCATGTCTGGATCCAGCTCGGCAGGCTGCTCATCGTGACGTGGAAGACCAGCTGGGCCCCGCGAATAAGTCGTTGCGTGGGAGAGGTTTGAGCTTGGCTCGTCATCGCAGTAACCCGCCAGGCTACGTTGCCTGTGCCGTGACTTGTCTGCGGGGTGATTGAGATCATGTTTGCGGCCGGGACGCAATTTCCACCCCCCAAACACCCGCCCCGCAATGTACAATGGCTGAAGCTGGTTGACCCAGTTGGGGCTGGAGACATCTCGTGAGCAATCCAGGGCCCCGAAGCTCTCTGTGGTATAACTCACTGTGATTCGTTGCTCATGCTGAGGCCACCAAGCTGCCGTGCGTGCCATACGGGATCGAGCTGTCGCGACAAGGCATTAGTTAGAGATTTGTGATGGCAGGACGTCGCGTTGGTCAAGGGTAAGGGGGGATTCCTCCGAAACAGCTTTCGTGAGGAATCAGCAGGAGTGGGCTCCTCACCACGTCTTGGTCTGTGGCGTCTAGGCAGGACTGCAACAAGCCAGTTTGCAGAAGCAGGATACATCCCGCGTGGTAGAATGTGTGTCCGCAAACTTCGCCAAGAGTAAGCAGAGACCTGACCAGCGGCTACGCAGGGAAACGGTATTCTCTTACTAGGAGAAGACGTTGCAAAAACGACAGTGGGGAAGGGATTCGACCTTGTTGGGCCTGCCGACATAAGGGGAAGCGCATCTTTGGGACGGTAGCTCAGCCACGCCTGAAGCTCTTTCCATAGATCGTCGACGATGGGCGCCACCTCTGGCGAGGATAATGTCGCATTTTGTAACATAGGACCGGCGACGTTGACAATCTTGGCAAAGATCAAGATGGCGAGGTTGCAGTAGTCGTCAAGATCGTTCTTGGCCGCAACGGAAGCGACTGACTCATCTCGAACCCAGGAATCCGTGGGAATAAGTGTGGACTGTTCCATGATGAACGCGGCCCAGACATCTGACCTGTGCGGTTAGCAACAGAGCACCTAAGAATGTCCGAGGCAGGAGGCAGGGAAGGGGGGCTGCGTGAGATACCGATCCTCGCAAATGCCCAGAAGCAGGTTTTGACGATGCCTTCGCTATCACCGTTCCAATTTCGCATCCTGAGAAGGCCCGCACAGCCCTGGAGAGACTCGTCAGCTAAACGTCCACCACGGCGTCTCGGTTTGCGCGCAAACGAACTCGCAGGTGCCGCCTCCATTCGGAAACTCCAGACGCCATCATCTCGTATACACAAAGCAACGTGCACGTCGCCAGGATAGATGGATCGGCGACGTTGGGATCATGCCTCAAGAGGAACTGTATTGTATCCTGGTATAGGTTCAGGGTCAGCTGGCTTGACCCGCCCTTCGCGTTGTCGAGTTGACGAGAGGCCAAGGCCATGGCGGCGGAAGAGAAAGCCATCGACTTCATCAGCTTGTGGATTCCCTTGACGGTGAAGTGCATTTCGGAATCGGTCGTGTTGCACCATGTCCCTGTCTCCCGTAGGTAGTAAGAAATGAGCCTAGCGCGCAGCGCATCCGAGACCGAAGGCGGCGGATCGGGTAGCGGCGACGCATTTTGAGAAACGGCCTGGCCGAGAGAAAAGGGGGGTATGAAAGCGCCGGCTCCCTCAGCCTGGGATGTCGATGCCGCCAGGCGGCCATCCGGTATCAATGGAGGCGTGACGTGCTGGAACGGGGGGTATAGCTGTTCGCACTCATCGAGGCGAGCCGTCTGCGTGGCGGTATTGGGATCTCCGGTTGGACCGTCGACGGGTGATTCGTCAAGGACATTGTTAGCTTGGCCGCAGCAACGGACATGGGAGCTCGTGAGCTCTCCAGTCGAGGCCGTGGATTCGTTTCCGTCCGTCTCGTCGACGACTTGCTGCGGAGTTGTCACATCCGGACCCCCCTGGAAGAGAACGTCTTTATCGGCAACTCCTTGCTGCAGTCGCGGGTTAGTCTTTCACCCCAAAAAAAAAAAAGAAGAAAAAAAAAAAAGGAACCGTGTCGGAGGGGCGTTCCTTGTGAGGAACCTTACTACGGCAGAGCCTTGGAAAACATGTTCACCGCGTGGGGGCCGCCCAGAACGCAACTGTGTCTCGATAGAGGTCAGAGTTGCGACGTCTGTGTCGGAGAGACGGAGCATGCGGGAGGGATGGAATGATATCTTCAGACCCCACTCGCAGGCTAGACTTCTGTTTTCACAATTGAGACATGCCGGTCGCTTGCCATCGCCTAGTCGCTCCGAAATGTTATTACCGGCAAGTCGAAGCACATTTGACGGGCGGGGGACTGGAGTTATGCAACGCACATTTCCTCTTTCTGTTGCGGCAGGGCAGGCTATTGTCTCCATGTCAGACCAGTATGATACCGACGAGACTGTTGAGAGCGAGGCAGGGAACAAACGACAGTCGGACTTACCATCCCAAGCGAGATCTAGTTCGCGGGGGCATATTGTGGGTCGTAGTTGTAGTCGACTTGTAAAGCGGCGCCTACGTTTGCTGTGACGGCAGTGATGTCACACGAGACTCTTGACGGCGATGAAATGGGAGTGTCTTCCAAAGTCGAATTTCCATTGAGATTGTTGTGGCCTTCGCCTGCTTTTGGGTCTCGTCTGCTCGGGACGTCTCTCCCGGCGCTCGCGCTTCCACATGCCCAGATTGGCACAACGCAAGCGCTCGCGCTCAGACCGTTCTGTCCTGTTGACTGCGGAGCACATCCCATGGATCCCACCATGTAATTATGCCCTCCCTCATCACCAACAGCAACAACAGAAACGCACTCAGCAGGCTCAAATCTGGCGCCAATAACCGCCCTGCTCCGCGACAAAGCAGCCAAAGATGGACCGGCCGGGAGGAGCTGGCACACGGCATGCGAAGAACGAGGCTGAATCGAATCGAAGACAATCCCACGTCCTGCTGCCGCTCAATGATAAAAAGACGGACGGACGGCCATGCCTATGCCTGTGCCTATGCCTGTGCCGCTGACCAGACACAACACGTAAGGGAACCAACGGTTTCTGACTATCCTTTCGTTTCCCTGAGTCTCCCTCAACTTTCCAGGTCGCTTGACTTGCGAACAAGATCCAAAAAAATGTCCACTGGCAAGGAAGTCATCATCATCGGCGGGGGTGTATCAGGGCTCGGCATGGCCATCCAGCTGAAGCGCCTCCTCGGCCACGACAACTTCACGCTGTATGAGAAGTCGGACAACATTGGCGGAACTTGGTGGCACAACAGGTACCCTGCCTGTGCCTGCGACATCCCAAGCCACTTCTACTCATATAGCTTCGCTATGAAGCCGGACTGGACGACGACGTACCCGGGACGCAATGAGCTCCACGCCTACTTCTTTTCCGTGGCCGAGAAGTTCAACATCCTGCCTCACTGTCGCTTCAACGTCATGTGTACGAGCCTCACCTGGGACAACGACCGGGCCGTCTGGATCTGCGAGTTCAAGAGCACCGTCACGGGTGAGACCTTCACCCGCGAAGCTCCTGTCGTGGTCAGCGCCATAGGAACGCTGGACCGACCCTACGTGCCCGAGATTGCAGGGAACGAATCCTTCGAGGGCGAAGTTTTCCACAGCGCCAGATGGAACCACGACGTCAACTTCAAGAACAAGAATGTGGTTGTCCTTGGAAACGGGGCTTCTGCAACCCAGTTCGTCCCCGAGCTGGTCAAGGACGTCGGACCCAGCGGCAGCGTCACACAGCTGGTGAAGAGCGCGCACTGGTGGACCAAGCGGGTGAGCAGCATCCCCTGCCGGCCGAGCCCGCAATCTCGAACGTGCGTGCTGACGAGAATCCCAGGGAAACCCAAAGTACTCGGAAACGTTCAAGGCCGTCATGAAGTACGTCCCGCTCGCTGCGCGCGTGTATCGCGTTTACCTGGCCTGGGAGCTGGAGAAGGTCTTCTTCTCGTTTCTCATGACGCCCGGCGGCGCCCGCATGAGGCAGAAGATTCGCGGCGCCACGTACGAGTATATCGAGAAGGACGCGCCGGCGGAGTACCGCGACATCCTCAAGCCCAACTACGAGCCCGGCTGCAAGCGACGGGTCAACACGGCGACGTACCTTGCCGCCCTGCACTCTCCCAAGATGCACCTGGCCAAGGACTCGGCGGTCAAGCTTCATCCTCGCCATGTCGAGACGGCCAGCGGCAAACGTTACCCCGCGGACGTGCTTGTCTTCGCGACAGGCTTCCTGACCCAGAAGTGGCTGTACCCGCTGGAGATCCGGGGCATCGGGGGTCGCGAGATCCACGACGTGTGGGACGGTGCCGGGGGCGCGGAGGCGTACAAGGGCACCCTTGTGACCGGGTTCCCCAACTTCTTCATCCTGTATGGGCCAAATGCGGCCACCGGACAGCACTCGGTTATCTTCCACTCCGAGTGCCAGATCAACTTTTCGTGCCGTCTCCTGCGACCCGTCCTCCGGAGACGCTCGCCGGTTGACTCCATCATGCCCACGCCCAAGGCGCAGAGGCGCGATCTCCAGTGGGTCCACGGCAAGGTCCAAGGACTCGTGTTCAACAGTGGTTGCCAGAGCTGGTGGATGGACCCCGTCACGAAGAAGAACACCTTCATCTACCCGGACCCCATGTACAAGTACTGGCTCAGGACCATCTTCCCCCGCTGGTCCGACTTTCGGATCAGGGGACCCGCCGGCGATCAGCAACAAAGTTCGGGTATGGGCAAGGTTCTGGCTGCATTCGTGGGTTTGGGGGCTGCTTTTGCCATCTACAGCGCTGCTGTTGACTGGAAGCCGGCGGTCCAGTACGCGGCCCTGATGAGCTCCCGGCTCAAGTGGGAGTAACTGATAATCAACTGGTAGACATAGTGGATCAGGGGGGGGGCTGCAGAAGTGATGTGTGTAGCAGAGATTGATCAATACAGCCGTTGACTTGACGTTTTCACCCGCAGTCATCTCTACTCACACGTTGTATTTCACAAATTAAACTTGGACACAGATTGAGTGGATTGACAAGGTTGCTGCGGTGACGATGTCCAGAATAAACACAAATACCCTATGCAGACATGGCAAGGCAGGAAAACCAGCCACGTCAACATTTTCCGCTTCTCTGAAGAATTGACCACGATCACAAATGATGGCCACGAAGCACCCACCCACCCACATTGGTAATGGTGTAGTGCAGGAGAGTCAGAGTATCAAAGAGGGCAGCTGGAAGCGTCGATTTCTTCCCGGAGGCAGGGTGTGGTAAAATACGCTTTATTCGCTTTATTAGCGCCAATGGCAGGTTAATCGAGGCACACCGCAAAATTGATATCACAGATAGTCTCAGACACCGATGTTCGTGAAGGAGTGAGGCTAGGCTTTGCCGTTAAAGTGCAAACGCAAGCGCCGCCAGGGGCAGCCCACAAAGTCACTCATGGCGAGTGGAGCTCGATTGTCACTGGGGGTTGCTCCAGCCTGGGGATGGATGCAAGGATGGACAGTGAGGGCATTACATCATGTTAGATATGCCTCTAAATATTGCGGTTACAAAACCTTGGCACGCTACACTCGGAACGACGAGTTGCAGGATTTAAACGTCTGGTCAGTCCTTTGCTCCTTGGACTTGAGGTTGTCGACAGAAACACCCCTTGCCAAACCTAGTAATTAGTGATCACGCGCCGGAAGACCCTCCCTCCCCCGCCTCCTCCTTTCAACATGAGCCCGTTCATTTTTCATGGCTTAACGGGAAATCTCAAGGTCAATCGCCCTCAGAAAATCAAGGTTGGAATCGAGAACGACTTCCTGTCTCTCACCAAACAAAAGCTGGGCCTGGCGCGATACCCAGAGGAGCAGATCGACTTCGGACCCCAAGACTGGAGCCAAGGAGCCAAAGTATCGGCAGTGAAGGAGCTCGCCGAATACTGGCAAAACACGTACGATTGGAGCGCGCAAGAGGTGAGCCCTTGCAGTCAACCACGCTGCATGAACAAACATTCTCTCTTGTCTTCAGCGATATTTTACTGACGACCTCATCTCGGCCATAGGAACTTCTCAATACCATATTCAACCACTACCTTGTCAAGGTCGATGTCCCAGGCTATGGCAGTCTCGTCCTTCACTTCACCCATACAGCGTCTTCAAGGCCCGGCGCCATACCTTTGCTCTTCTCTCATGGCTGGCCGGGCTCCTTTGTAGAAGCCGCCCGTGTGGTCCGGGAGCTTACGGAACCCAGCGACCCGGAACAGCAGGCCTTTCATCACGTCGCTCCGTCGATCCCCGGCTTCGGCTTCTCCCCAGCCCCCTCCGTGTCTGGGGTGGGGCCCGAGATCGTCGCGCGGGCCTACAAGATACTCATGACGGACGTGCTGGGCTACAAGTGGTTCGTCACGCAAGGGGGCGATTTCGGCTCGTTCATCACCCGGTCCATCGCGCTGCAGTATCCCGCCGTCGTTAGGGCACAGCACCTGAACATGTTCCCAGTCCCGCCGCCGAAACCCTTCTCGGCGCCCAGGGCCTATCTCCGGTGGTGTCTCTCCAGGTTTTTCTACACCCCCTTTGAGAACGAGGCGTTGAGGGTGAGGCGGAATTTCGAGGTCGACCAGAGCGGTTATCTAGAGCAGCAAAAGACCCGGCCACAGACTCTCGGGTTTGCGCTTGGGGATTCCCCTCTCGGCCTGCTCGCTTGGTTTGTGGAGAAGATTCACGACTGGGGTGACGTCGAGGAGGCATTCACCAACGACACCATCATCACCCTCGTCATGATGCACTGGATTCAAGGCGCCACTCCTGGATTGAGGTTCTATCGCGAGGCGTTCGGCTCCCGTCGCGAGGCCGAAAAGACTTTCGAGGCCTACGTCGCCTGTCCCACTGGCGTCAGCATGTACGCCAAAGAACAGCTCCACGTAAGTCGGCGTCATATCTGTCCAAACTTTTCACATGCAAGGGGGCTTACAGTCAATTCCAGTGTCCAAAGGACTGGGCCCAGCAGGCCGCAAATGTGCAGTTCTGGAAGGAATATGAGATGGGCGGTCACTTCTCGTCCCTGGAATGCCCAGATAACTTCATCAAGGACATCAGGGAGTTTTTCTGCTCCAAGAATGTCAAGGATTCTATTGAGGAAGTTCGGTAGCTTAGCATCAATACCAGGCGAGCATTTACCTGTAATGACTCCTTGGAAGTAACAACACTCAGTAATATACTTTGAATTATCCACCCGTTCTTTTCCACTATCGTCGGAACTCTACTAGAGGGCTGGTGGTAGAGCATTAGCAGGCGGGCTAATAGAAACCAAAACATTAGGCTAATAGTCCTCAAAGCTTCTTCTACTGCTACTTTCTGCGAAGGGCTAGTCTTAAGCTTATTTAACTATCGAATGCTCTATTAGTATTTACTTTAATTAAGGAGCAGGAGGGAAGTTCTCCCTATTTGCGTTAAGGCTCTACTACTAGCGTATTATACTATATAATAATACCACTAAATACATAGTCTTAAAGGAAACACTTATGAGTTATCTACATCTTAACAGAACTTCCTAAAAGCAATAATTGTACTAAGACGCCCCACGTATCCTAAAGAATATAATCGTTAAAGTCTCATTAACTTCCTGGGAATTAAGGGGTAGCCTTATGCGTCGTTCTAGTTTTATTGAGAATACAGGTAATATCCTAGGCTTTCTCACTACTCAGACCGTCTCAGACCATGAGAAGCAAATATTTTTGTGGGATTCTGTCACGCCTTAATCTCATAAGAAGTGTATAAGCCGCTGTCTTGGCTATGTTCTTCAGTCTCTCTTCTATCCTCCTCACAATCAACAGTCTAAACGATAACGTTCGCTACTATCGTTTTACAAACCACGTTCTTTACGAAGACTCCCCTTCGCCACACTCTTTATCTAAAATCAAGTTCTCTATATCTACTCTCTTCATAGGCATCGCCACCATCTCCTCCGTGGCCGCCTCCCCCATGCCCGTCGCCGAGGTCTCCGTGGCCAACTAGAAAGTTCCCCGCGACGCCGCAGCCTCAGCCTTCGCCTCTCAGGATAACTTTGAGCAGCCTGAAGCTGTCGAGACTAGCGACCTCGCCCTGACCACCGATCTCGAGTCCCCCTCCACCGGCCTGAGCAAGCGCGCCATGAACTCCAAGTTCAAGATCCACGTCGTCAACACCGCCGCCCGGGCTCTCGGCATCATCATCATCGACTGCACTATCAACCTGCTGCCAGGCAGCCACGAGAGCACCACGGCCAACTTTGACAAGCTCACAAATGTCCGCACCAACGGCCCTGTCGTTGCTACCCACTTCGAGGGTGGCGCAAACCCACTGGCCGCGGCGCAGAATGCCGTCTCTAACTTTGCGACGAGCATGGTTTCTGGTGTCATTGATCTCTCCTTCAATGCGGCTGGTGTTGCTACCGGTATTGCCTCGTCTACTGGTATTCACCTTGGCAGCACTGTCGTTGCGAAGTCGCTGCATATTTTCAATGAGAACAACGCGAAGATTAGTGCAATCAACCTTTAAGCTGGATCCTTTGGGAGGTATAATGATATGATTGAGGGCATGAATTGGGACGGTGTTTCGCTCTGGGTTGAGGTTTTTTCCAACCCTGTTTTGGTCTCAGCCGATATAGTTTTTTGCTCCTCCTAGTTTTGCGAACTTGAAACGAGTTTTGAAATTAGGTTTTGTGGTTCCCGCGTATAGATTTAGACCACAGATCAGAATATAAATGAGTTGGTAGCACGCCTGACCTAATAGCAAGATAATTATATGAAGTGGGAACGTTAGATAGAGCGATAGTGCAACGGAGACCGCCTGATCAATCCTTCTGTATCTACGCAGCTTTATTTCCTGTGTAGTCAATCACGTGTGTTGAAGAAGATAGTAGAAGCAATAATATTTCTTAGTAGCGACGACGATAGTATTAACAGTAACGAGAGTACTAAGTGACGACGGCAACGATAACGATAGTAATAACGCTAATAACAACGACGGTAACTCCAGATATAATGACGGTAAGGTAGAGTATAGCTAACAGGAAAAATAGTCGTTCTAGCACCAGAAATCAGGCAGTTTCATACAAAGATTATCTAAGACCATGGGTTTAGAGAGAACGACCAAGGCACATATCAGTGCACAGCCGTACAGCAGCCAATAGTGTCGCTCATGTTGGGTCGATCACCAACCGTATAAGCAGGGGTCAGTGGGATCAGGCTGTGGAAGTTATCAAGGACTGCCAAGAAACGTATTGATTCGCTGACAGCATTTTTCTGACCCCATACGATTGCTGACTTGGACTCCAAGCGCGTCCTTCACCGATCAAATGCACCTGGCCCACCGACTCATCTTTCCCGCTCTTCTACCTCCTACACGAAAGTTTGCATTACTCCAGTCTGCCTCGCCACGTCATCTCGCGGCATCAATTTTCCGAGATCAGCACGAAATTCTAAAATTATGAGCATTAGATGGTTGTGACGTTGAGGTATCTCATTCACAAACCAGAGCAACAACATGTCGAGTCAGTATGCTGGACGAAAGCGTCGGGTCTCATCTTTGGAATTCAGTACGGAGGAAAACAGCACAGCGCGGATCAAAACGGAGCACACCAACTCAGGTGCTGGCAAACAGTATAACAACTCTCATTCTGGTACTCAGTACAACGCCGAAAAAATAAAAATAGGTATGGCTTTCATCATACCCGTGGCAAACGACTCTCTCTCTCTCTCTCTCTCTCTCTTGCTTTGTTTCTATCCAAAGAAATCTCTACCCCGCTCGAGGAAAAACGACTCTGCCCCGCTCTGCTAATGCTTGAGGAATGCATCCTGCTCCCAAAGCGCATTTCTATAACGAGTAAGGATCAGTATACTAACATGGCATGTAGTCAACCAGGAAAAGGACAGGTTCCTCGCCGATCTACGAGTCACTGATCCCCGCGACGACAAGACCCGCATTCAGCGGACTAAAGGCGATCTTCTAGTCGACTCATATCGATGGATACTTCAAAATGACGAGTTCTGTCAGTGGCTAGCTGAAAGACGTCTGTTATGGATCAAAGGCGACCCAGGCAAAGGGAAAACAATGCTCTTATGTGGCATAATCGACGAGCTTCTCAAAGAGGGATATGATTCAACCGTTTTCTTCTTCTGTCAGGCTGCAGACGCGCGAATCAATACTGCAAACTCGGTTCTCAGGGGTCTACTTTATCTGATACTTGATCAGAGACCGGCCCTTTGCGAACATATCCGCGGAAAGTATGACAAGGCAGGGGCTGGGAGACAGCTATTCGAGGATGCGAATAGCTGGGAGGTTTTGTGCGCAATGATCAAATCCGCGGTCAGCCATGAAACTCTACATGACATTATTCTGGTTATCGATGCTCTCGACGAATGCATTTCGGGCCTTGATCAGCTTATCCGATTGATCACCGATTTAGCAGGAAACGTCAAAATCATCGTCTCCAGTCGTCCCGAGCCAAGAATTGACAGGGCCTTGACCGTCGCTTTACGTGACACAAAGATCTACCTGTCTCTGGAGCTAAACGAGGACGTCATTTCAGCCGCCGTGAATAGTTATATACATCACCAGGTGGACAAATTGGCGGTTCTGAAAGGCTTTGACGACAATTTAAAAATCAAAGTCCGCGACTATCTTTTCACGAAAGCCGATAGTACCTTCCTCTGGGTTGCTTTGGTATATGAGCAGCTAGCAGACAGTCGTGTCCGCCCAAGGCATATTGAGCGAAAGCTTGACGAGTTTCCCCCCGGATTAGACTCACTGTACCAGCGAATCTTGGATCTCATCCTTGGTTCGCTGGACAGTGAAGACTGCAGACAGGTTTTAGCAATCATGGCGACTGTGTCTCGTCCGATTGATTTGACAGAGCTTGCCCTGCTACTTGACCATATGGAGTTCTTAGGTGAGATTGTCGAAGAGTGCAGTTCTCTTTTGACTGTAAAAGGAGGAATTATCTACTTCATACACCAATCGGCAAAAGATTTCCTCATTGGACGGACAGACAGAATCATGCCTGCCGGGTTGGGTCTCAGCCATAACCAGATCTTATCGAAGCTCCTCCAGTCCATGTTCAAGACGTTTAAGCGCAATATCTACGGCATTAAAGAACCCAGACTTTCGCTCGACGAGATCTGTGTCCCATCTCCCAACCCCCTGTTACCCGTTAGATACGCATGCGTCTATTGGGCCGATCACCTCACATATAAAGACGCGGGACAACAGCAGTTCGCCGAAGTTTATTCCTTCGTTACAAAACACTTTCTTCACTAGCTAGAGGCCTTAAGTCTCTTGCGAAGTGTGCCCATAAGCATATTATCGATGTCTCGCACCCTGAAAATCATTAAGGTTCGTCGCTTTCATAACATTCTACTCTCAGGGTTAACTGATAGCCTATAGGCCTCAAAACAGCCAGAAGAAGGAATACTTTTAGTTAGAGATGCACTTCGTTTCACCCGGTATTTTCAGGCCCCGATCGAAGTCAATCCGTTACAACCTTACCTCTCGGCACTCATGTTCAGTTCTACAAATAGCATCATAAGATGGCTGTTTTGAGATGAAGAGCTGAGGTGGTCCAGGATGCCAGAAACAGATTGGACTCCATGTCTGCAAACCCTCAAAGGACACGACAACCATGTTGTTTCTATGAACTTCTCCCTTAATGAAACTATAATAGCCTCCTTATCTATAGATAACACTATCAAGCTATAGACCACAACAACAGGCCAGTATGTACAAACGCTCTAAACTAGAGGTCCAGCTAATTTAACAGCCTTCTTAATTAATAAGATCACACTCGTATTAGCTTTATAACTTTTTATTAAACTTTAGGATATTAGAACTAGAACCTGTTTTAAAAAGATCCCTACTTATAGCAGTCCTTCCTTAATTGCTTTCTCACACGATTAGGCTTCAAATTACCTATACTATAGATACCTATAGGTAGCTATATAAATAGGTTAGGTTATAAGTAGACCTAAGTTATAAGTAGATAGGTTTACTAGGTATATAGGTAAATATAAATATAGGTATAGGTAGAGATTCTACTTATACCTATAGGGTTATAAGTAATATTATACCTCCTAAAATTATAGTATATTATAATAACTATTATAATAATTTTATATAAAATTTCATTTTAGTAGTATAGGTTTATAAATAGAAACTTAACTATTATATATCTTTAAAATATATTATATATAGTTTCTACTATTTAGTTTTATATTCTTATTACTAAATTCTTTAAATTCTTAATCTAATTAAACTATTTCTTATTCTATAGTTCTAAAGTTACTATTTCCTATTTATATTATTTAATACTTAGGGATTTTTCACTTTAAATCTATATTATCTAGCTATATATTTAATAGTTTTTTATATTTATTATTATTCTCTTATATTATTTTAAAAGAACTTTTTTATCTAATACTAAAGATATTACTACTATTTCCTTTATTAAAAAGTTCCTTAGTTATAGAACTATCTTCTATATTTCTATTAGTTATATTACTACTACTAAAGATTTTTTATAGAGTATAACCTCTATTAAAGAAGGCTTAAATCCTATTATAGAGGTTAATATTCTACTTATCTCTATTACCTTACTCTTTATTTTAATAGTTACTAATTACCTTAGAAATATTACTATTATTAAGTAATTCTTAGTTATTATTAATATAATTAGTCTTCTCTTTATTTATATTACTTAGCTCTTTATTCCCTTAATTTTTATTCCCTTAAGCTTTATTCCTCTAAGCTTTATTCTCTTAAGCTTTATTTCCTTAGATTTTATTTCTTTAAACTTTATTCCCTTAAACTTTATTCCTTTAAGCTTTATTCCTTTAGGCTTTATTCTATTAATTATTAGTTCCCTCTAGAGTATTAATATTACTTTTAGTCTAAAGAGTAGTATTTCTATTTATAGTAATTTTAGAGGAAATAATTATATTAGTAATATTAAAGCTATTCTAAATATCTTAGTAGGTATTAAGAGATAGTAATTAAGGCTAGCTAGGATACTCTAATATAGTAGTATCTAAAAGTATATCTAATTTATAGTTACTTAAAATAGAGATACTATCTTCTTAATTAACTTTAGTTCTCTTTTTTACTTTAGGTATACTTATAGACCTCTTTTACTTTATAGAAGTCTTCTTAATAATAATACCCTTCTTAGTTTTAAGAATAGCTTTATTACTTTTAGGTTTATATTAAATAGTTAAATTTAGTTTTAAGGTTATATATAGATAATTCTAGAACTAAGTTTTACTAATAGCTCTCTAATAATAGTTAATATATATAGTATATTTTAAAATAATATAAGTAAAGTAAAATAATAAAATAGAAATAAAATAAAGTATTTTTTTATATACTACCTAACTATAAAGTATTTATTCCTTAGGATAATATATAAATCTTTTTAACTAAAGTAAGATCTTTAGTATTAATAGTAATTTAGTAGGTATAAATAGCTACCTATATATATACTGAAAAATANAAAATAAGATCTTTAGTATTAATAATAACTTAGTAGGCGTAAATAGCTACCTATATATATATTAAAAAATATTAGTAAAGAATTTAAAAAAAGAAATAAAAATATATTATTAAATATAGAAACTAAGAGGGTTTTAGAACTCTCCTATAATACTTTAAGAGTAGAAGCTTAAATATAGTTAGGCGTAGTAGAGTAAACCTTATAGTATTTAAGTATAATCTCTTTAATAAAATTCTTAAAGGATATCTTTAGAATTAAAAGCTTATATAAGGCTTAGATATAGTATATTTCCTAAAGAATATAGTCTTTAAAATATTAATATTATAATAATTTTTAAGAATTATAATAATCTAACTTATATCTAGGCTTATATTTATAGGCTAGTACTTATTATCTAACTATATAGGATAGCTTCTTTATAATAGTCTTATAGGTAGTCTTAGGAGTAGTCTTATTAGTAGTTTTATTAGTAGTCTTACTAGTAGTTTTATTAGTAGTCTTAGGAGTAGTCTTATAAGTAATCTACTTAAGTATATTTCTAGTACTACCTATACTATTACTATATTAATATATAAGTATTATAGATTTATATCTATAAGAAATTAGCTTTTAAGAAAGGATAAAGATATTAAAATAAAAATATTTATATAAATAGAAGAATAAACTATATAAAATTATAGTAGTGATATATTTATAGAGAGAAGAAAAAAAATAACCTTAATTAGTTAGTAGATTTAAAAAAAGAGGTTATATATACTAACTATACTATATCTAGGATTTAGTAGGTATAACACACCTCTATTACTATAGTAATAATAACTCTTACCTTAAAATAATTATATAACCTATATAAGTAGTCTATATAGCTATATTATAGAAATTTTAAATCTACCCTAATAGAATTAATCTTACCTCTTATAACTAATAAAATAAAACTATTATAAGTATAATTTTAAATATCTTAAATTATTTATACTAAATCTCTCTAATCTATCTATTAAGGTATACCTATAGATATATCCCTACTACTATATATTTATAATTTATACCTATAAAGTTATTATAATAATCTATAGTGTTATTATAATAATTATTTCTATAAGTTACCTTATTAGCTTTAGTATAAGAGAGAAGTAGAAAACTATAGGGTATTATTCTATTAATCCCTATATTATAAAGATATAAAAGTATATTAATAATATAACTAATATTAAGGCTAAGTTTTACTAGCTAAAGTAGTAGCTAAATACTAGAATAATATATATAAAGAAAATAATAATCTAAGAGTATTTAAATTAGAATTCCCTAAATAAGGCGTAGTAAAATATTATAATTAAAAAAATAAAAATATAAATATATTAGAATATATAAGTTATATTTTTAAAAAGTTTAGAAATTTACTAATAAAAATCTAGAATAGATAGAGGATATCACTTATCCTAATTTAATCCTTATTTTATTTTACTTATTCTAATTATACTACTACTACTTATATATTTAGCTACTAATATAGTAAAAAATATACTAAAGAAGTATAGATAACCTACTCTAAAACCTAAACCTATAATATAGCTATCCTTAAATAATCCTTAGTAAGTATTATAAGAACTTAGCTACTACTCTTATAATTCTTTAATTAGCCTATTTATATTTAATATCTAAGTATAGAGAACTTATTAATACTATATTTAAGTTTAAGATATCTTTAAAGATAATTATAGTTTAAATTAGGAAGATATTCCTCTATATAAACTAATTAAGTTTAAATAAAATCTCTTAGTTAAGATTATAATTAATTTAAATTTTAAGAATAAAAATAGAGGTAGATAAGAGGTAGAAAGTAAATAACTTTAATATAAAATAAAGGTTATCCCTAAAGTTATTAAGTATATAAGTTTTTCTAAATATTATTAAGGAGTTCTTATTTATTCTTTCTTAGTAAACTACTATTATTAGATATTAATAATTCTATATAGTATAGTTTATAACTTTAAACTTATTTTAGTTAAAGCTATTATATTTCTATTAGTTCCTTTAAGAAATAGAGAAGATTTTTAAGGATATTAATATTATAAGAGTAGGAGAAAGATTCCCTTAAACTTAAGACTTCTTTATACTTAAAGAAATTTTCTTTATATTAGTTTTTTAGAAATTCTCCTCCTTAAAATTTATAAAAGAGAAAAAGAGAATCTTTTAGAAAATAAGTAGTATATAGAAATAGAAGTAATAAATAATATTAAGGAGATTTCTTATATAATAAAATCTAATAAAATAATTTAAGTTAGTAGAACTTAAGAATAAGATATATTTAGGTTCTTAAAAGTTATCTCTTAATAAATTATATATATAGCTACTAATTCTCTTTTTATAAACTAATAAGAAAGTAAGTCTAAGATATTATTAGTAATACTATAGTAGGTATTAATAAGAACTAAATTAAACTTCTAGGTCCTATTAGAATATAAGAGAATATAAATAAGGTATTAATAACTAATATAGAGGTTATTAATATAATCTAATATATCTATAAATTAAAACTAACTCTAATTCCTATTTAGCTTAAAATACTAAATTAAGTGAAATTATACCTAAGGGAATAGTAATAGTTTAATAATAAGATAATATTTTATATCTTTTAGTTTAAATTCCTACTATAAAGATAGAATAAGAGGTATAAAAAGATATATACCTAAAGAAGTAAGATATAATAAATATAAGTTTAATAATACTATTATATTTTAATTTAAGTTTTTTAAACTAAGATTAAATAAGAGGT